AAACTTCAGCGGACAGGGAGCTGGGTGAGTCAGGGCGGACACGAGAGGCCCAGTCTTGGATTCCCAGCAGGGCTGACATCCCCACGTGGGAATCTATCGTTTCATGTGGGATGGAGGCAGGGCTGCCTGGCTGTGGCACTGGACCCAAATGTGGCCAATGTGAGCCAGTTGGCACTTGTGAGGTTCTGCCCGCAAGGCTTCCCATAATGCCCTGGCACTCCTGGCATCTCTTCCCTGGAAGCTAGAAATGCCAACACCCTGTACCCATTTGTTCCAGCCAGGCCGGCCGCTTGCATCTTTCAATGCTCAACCCCACCTGGGAGATGCCTTGCCATTGTGGAGTGTGTTCCTAGTGGAGGCCATGTTCAAAGGATCCCACCCATGGGCCATGTGTTGAGTCTCGTGTAAACCCAAACCCAGTGATTCTCAAACTTTTTGTCATGTGGACCACCTGGCTCAATGTAAACCTTTCCACGGACCACCAGTTGCTAATGGAAACTCATCATTAATTACATAATTATGCCCAAGCCATTTTGCTAGTGCTGCAGCTGGGGAAAATGGTTTAATTTAAATTACGAAACAGATTAAGCATTTTAACTTTCTTATGTTAGTTTATCAAATTTCATTTTAAATAAAATAAAATGTTAATTTATGTCCAACACAAAAGGTTTCAATTTTTTTTTATTTATGGCAGGTATAGAGATCTTTTGTGTGTCGGGGGCCACTGAACCACAGAAAAATAAGTTGGGGGCCACCCAAGTGAGAAGCAAAATAACTCCTTCAAAAAACCCCCAACCCTCACTGATGTGGTCCCCAACTGAGATACCTCACTTCTCTAGCGTTCCAGCACCAGAGAGAGAAGAGGAAGGGAAGGGACAAGGAGGACTGAGGTTCAGGGCTTTCCATAGGCCAAATTTACTTTTCTGGGGTTCTGGAGTTAGTGGATTGTATAGACCCCTCCTTAGGCTCTGGGATGGGGATAAAAACAAGGGGTTCATTGTGCAGGTCAGAGCTGCCAGTGATTGGAATAGGGATGGGGTATAGGGTCTGGGAGGGAGGTGAAATGCAGAAGGAGATGAGGGTGTAAGATCTGGGTGGGAGGTAGGGTATAGAAGCAGGCTGGGAGTAGGGTGTCTTACTAGGGAGAGGGAGCAGGAGCAAGGGGGGGTGCAAGGAGCAACCGTGGATGCAGAAGCAGAGTGGAGGTAGGGTGTCTGGCCAGGAGGGAGGTGCAGGAGCAGACTGGTAGTAGTGTGTCTGACCACGGGCACTGAGATGGGAGCAAGGAGTGCCTAGGGCTAAAGCTGGGGGGCAGAGTGGGTTCAGGGAGATGGGGGACAGGATGCCCCTGGGAACAGGGCTAGGGTCAAGGTGGGGGGGGGGGGAGGTTCAGGGAAATGGAGAGGCAGAGGGCAAGGAGGCGGGGTGCGGTAAGGCAGGGGTGAGCAGGTAGGTGACCCCAGGGTGTCCAGCTCTGCAGGGGATGGCGTACTACGGGGTCCAGTCCATGGTGCTCTCGGGGGCCGAGCCGCTGTTCAGCTCCTCCCACCAGATTGAGTTTCCATGGGTGCAAAGCAGTGTTCCCTCTAACATTTTCTATCCTTGGGCGGGTTGAATTTTCTTGTGTGCACCACTAATACTGAGGTGGTGTGTCAATGTACACCACCAATACACACAAAACACACACACACAATATGGGGCCTATAAGGGTACTTGCAAGTAGGAATAAGAGATCCTCCGGAAAAGGGCTTTATTCCAGAGGATCGCGCCAGTCTAGACGCTCTTTTTCGGCTTTTCCCCAAGCCGGAAAAAAGCGGCGGCCATGTTTATTTAAATCCCCCGCGGATTTCCCTATTCTGACTTGCCTGCTTTGCATGCCTCTTCCGGAGAAGGGGCCAGTCTAGACGTAGCCTTACTGACTACAAAGGTGCTGTACAAAGATAGGGAATTAGCCTTCTTCCACCAGAGAAAAGTAGAAGCCCTAGAACAGATTAACACATGGCTTCAGGGTTTGTAGACATTTGCAGGTTTCAAAGAGCTTGCAAATAAGTCCTGCAGCACCTTAGTACTAGTCACTGTTCTTTTCAGCTACAGACTCTGAAACTGTTAATGGCTTAAGAAAGAAAAGATTCTTTATGCAAACTCTCACCTCACTGCAGGGATGCCAGCACTTAGTCACTCCCTCTTTCCCCGCCTACCTCATGCAGTCAGCCCCTTTACCTCCCCCTGCCCAGCCCAGCCCAGGAGAATTGAAGAGACTGCTGGGTCTCTGCCTCTTTTTCTTCTGCAGATGGGACTTTCCCCCATGCCAGTTATTTACTCCCTCCTTCCAGCCACTCATTCCCTGCCTAGCTGCTGATTGGCTTCCAAACAGTAGGCAGCATTTAGCTGCTGTTAACAGAGGCCAGTCCCCGGGGATCAGCTGATCTCGCTGCCCACTGTGGGAGCTTTGAGTGGCTAAGACCGTGCAGCTTAAAGGGAACTTTAGTGCAAGGGCCCCACCTGTATCCTGCGTGTGCAGGGTCCTTAGTCCCAGCGCTGCCTCCTCTCACTGCTGCTGGCCAGCACATCCCAACCTGCTGCCTGCCCTGTGGGACCAACCTAGGGAGCGCTGCTCTTACCAAGGCGGCAGCGCTCCTCCACGTGTAACTTGCAGAGGAAGGGGGGAGTTTGCCTTACCTCCCTGCCTGTTGGCCGAGCTGCTTTTGCAGCCTCATAGCTGCGGCCAATCGCCAGGCAGTGGCAGTGGCAGTGGCAGCGGCAGCGGCAGGGGCATTGCTGGCTCCTCTCTGCATGGAGGAGGAAGGGTGAGCTCCTGCTGTGGACCCCACACTTTGAGAGCCACTGCCCAAACCGGGCCTTGAGCTGCAAACAAACAGATGGCATGTTGAGTAGCTGAGAGGGTACGTCTACACTACAGCGCTAGTTCGAACTAACTTAGTTCGAATTAGTTAATTCGAACTAAGCTAATTCGACCTAACGCGTCTAGAACTAAAAACTAGTTCGAATTAGCGTTTTGCTAATTCGAACTAGCAAGTCCACATTGAGTGGACTCTGAACAGGGCTTAAGGATGGCCGGAAGCAGTGCCGGCAGGGCATCAGAGGAGGACTTAGAGCGTGGAGATGCTGTCTCAGGCTAGCCGAGGGCTGCGCTTAAAGGGTCCCGACCCCCACCCCGGACACACAGTTCTAAGGGGTGCCCCGCTTGCAAAGAAGTTCTGGCTTGGAGTGCCCTGAGTGCCCACACTGGGCACATCACACCACTCGGCCATCAGCCCGGCTGCACTTGCCGCAGGCTGCCATCTGGGGAGAGGGAGTAATTGGGGGGCTGCAGGAGAGCTTCCACCCCCAGAAGCCCGCAGAGCCAGCCCAGTCCTCCCCATCGGGGGCTCATACCCCATTCCTCCCTCACCTCCTTCCACTTACCCTTCCCTAGCCCCCCTTCTTATTGATGTACAAAATAAAGATAACGTTTCTTCCAACATTGACTCTGTCTTTATTGAAAAAAAACTGGGGGAGACTGGGAAAAGGAGGTGGGAGAGGGGAAGAGAAAGGCTGGGAGAGGGGAGGGCAACTAACATGATCAGGGGTTGGGAACAGGTCCCAGATGAAGAGAGGCTACAGAGACTGGGACTGTTCAGCTTAGAAAAGAGGAGACGGAGGGGGGACAGGATAGAGGTCTCTAAAAGCAGGGGTTGGGTGGAGAGGGTGCATTCAGAAAAGTTCTTCCTGAGTTCCCATAAAGAAGGACTAGAGGACACCAAAGGAAAGGAATGGGTAGCAGGCTTGAAACTAGTAAGAGAAAGTTGTTCTTCTTGACAAAGCAAATAGTTAACCTGTGGAACTCCTTGCTGCAGGAGGCTGTGAAGGCTACAACTAGAACAGAGTTTAAAGGGAAGTGAGATCAAGTCATGGAGGTTGGGTCCATGGAGTCCTATTAGCCAGAGGGTAGGAGTGGTGTCCCTGCCCAAAGTTTGTGGAAGGCTGGAGAGGGATGGCACGAGACAAATGGCTTGGTCATTGTCTTCGGTCCATCCCCTCCAGGGTCCCTAGGGTTGGCCGCTGTTGGCAGACAGGCTACTGGGCTAGATGGACCTTTGGTCTGACCCAGGACGGCCATTGTAAGCTCAGGGCTCAGGGTCGGGGGTCTCAGTGGACCCCCTTGATTTTCATGCACACCTGGTCCTGGGTGGCCAGGCTGGCAGCTCTCCTGCCCTAGACGGCCACTTTCCTGTGCCTAGTGCAGAGATCATGGACAAGGTCCATTATGTCTGCACTAGCCCAGGAAGGTGCCCACTTCTTGCGGTCCTGGGCAAGCTCCCGGGAGCCGCCAGCCTGGGCCTGGGGAGAGGG